AAGGATGCATTATCCACCCATTTTCACTGGAAGGTGTAAGGTCAAGTGACCTGCCCAGACTGCACGTCAAGTCTACAGCTGAGCAGGGAATTTAATCTGGATTTTCCAAATCTTACTTTGATGTCTTAACCATAAAACCACCCTTGCTCACTCACGCAGTCTTTTCATTCCAGAGACAGCAAACTATAAGGCAGGATTTTTCAAAAAAGCCTTATCCTTTTGATGTACCACAAAACATGTTTGAAGATCTGACCTTTCTGCAAACGTTTAAAAGAAAAGTGAAAAATCAACTTCCATATGCCATGCATTTGGAAAAACAACATAGAACAGTTGCTTTATTACTTAGGCAAAAGTCTGCAGAAGCTCAAAACTTGGAAAGCCATCGGGCAAAGACACTGGCAAAACAGGAAATATTCTGCTGTCTTCTATCCTAATTGTAAAATATGGTTAAAAAGGAGATTCACTCTTCAATTCCCACACAAATTTATCTACTGAACACATTTTATTAGCCTTTTACTGCTACAAAGTATTTTCTCAGTGGGTGCTTAAAGTGTGAGAAGAGCAACTCTAAATAAAAAAGTGAAGGTTCTGAAGGCATGAACGTTGTCTGAATTTAACTGCCCCGTATGTAACTGTTACAGAAGAGCTAGGTTTTTCTGGGCGTCAAAGTACTGGCATTGCTCTTCTTAAATTGAGGAAAATTGAGCATAATTTTGATGTAAAATTTTTGTCTCTGATACTATTATCTATTGGCAAAACTACCACATTTTAAAAAATAAGGCTATTCCAGTGGATCTATTCAATCTAATCTTCATAATCATGGTATCTCCAAGGTAGAAAATTAATTGGATGAAGTTAAATATCCCCTTTTCATGTCAACAAAATTGGTTTTTCTGGGGATTAAAGGATTAACGTGGTGTTAAGTCCCTAAAGAGGTTAAAACACTTTATTTTTCATTACAAAACACAAAGATTGGACAGTTATTTTGTTCTTATGTCACTGGTTGTCATTTCATTGAAATAACAAAAGTAGGAAGGGAAAACTTTAATGATTCTTAAGTAATCTGAAGAAGTGTTTTGAAATTAGTCTCATCATAACCATCTATTAAATTGTCCTTAAATAAGGAGCACATACATTATTTTTACATGTGAAGAACAAGAAATATTGCAGAGCAGAGTTGTGGTTCTGCATAGATTTGTTAGCATTTCAGATAATTCCACAAGTATTACCAATTTAATCTTTCAGTTATCTTTCTTAAAGCTATAGAATAAATAAAATGGTTCATTACCTCTGTGTTCAGAAGAAAATCTTGCTGAGGAGAAGGTTCTTTATCTAGAAGAACTAATCCTCACAAAACGCTTCCCTCAACACTCTAGAGCTGATCTAAAGCCCATTAAGGTCACTGAGTCTTTCTAGTACCTTCGATGAGCAATGGACTAAGTCCTAAGACCTGTGACATGTCAACATCATTAAAATACACATTTTTAGAACTCCGTTACAGAAGCAAAAGTTTTGCATTAATAAGATCTTTGAATGATACCCTTTATTAAATTTTAATAAAGTAGTGCTTATAGTAGCAACTGCTGCTAAGTCCTTTTACCACTCTTACCTCTGGACAAATCAATGTCAATAGCTCACAGTTCAACAGCACTGAGTGGAATCAGTGTACGGATTTCCTGGTGGAATCTGAAGACAGAACCCTACAGCTTGTTAAAAGCCAAGGGCATGAATGAATACATGATTTTAAAACAACTCAAGCCAGATTTCCCACCACAATGGTATCTCAGAGCCATCTGTAGTATTCATTGCGATAGGCATTTCCACAAAATGGCAAGTTCCCATATTCCAAGTGTTTCTATTTCATGAAAACATTCATCATCTGCAAAAAAACTGATCCCTTCACTAACTTGACCCCTAGAACAAAGTTCAAAGTAGCTGTTTCCACCAGTTTAAGAGCTATTATGAGACGTTTCCAATTTGGCAGCCACTTCTCAAAAACTTCACTGGCACGAATGAAGTGTCACTTGTGACACCAGCTAGCAGCATCTGGAGGAATTGCCTTTGATTACCTGCCAGTTAGCCAGGAATCAACACTTTATTTGTGTGTAGCACTGTGAGAAAGTGCATGCATGTAGGCATGCCTGCTGAAACACAACACACAGCTAACTCCAGTCTCACTGATTTTCAACTGGAGAAGGTCCTCGGACACTGAGGAATGTCCACATGGGAAAAGTATAAAGAACAATTCAGTTGATTTTTGTTATCTGCTGCACTGAGGCCTTGGCTCAATATTACTCTGCTAACAAGTTACAGTGCTGGAATCCTTGGCACCAGCAGGCCATTCTTGGAGGAAAAATGCCTTATAGAAGTACTGCAGCTTCTGTGAATTCAGCCCAACTTTTAATCTGTATCACATAAGGTAGAAACATTGAAGTTCATAATGCTTTACTGCATGCAGCTCAGATCCAGCCAACATGCAAGCCTACACCAAAATAGAGCAAGAGACAGTTGCAGAAAGGGTGTTTAAAGGGTACCTAGGAAGAACCATGTATCACTATGAAATAAATCATCTCCTTTCAAACCAAGTGCAGAGATACTCAGCTGCTTGCACAGAGATGCTTGGTCACTAAATGAAGGTCTTTCGGTTTTACTTCCATCATTGATTTGGATATAAAAGCAAACGCCTTGCCTACACTTTCCTCCCAGATTTTGCTGCTGGCTGTGAAAGTATCCATGTCCCATATCTTCAGATGGTGCCACCCTAATAACAGCAACAAATTCTTTTAATTCCCACTCCTCAAACTCTTTAACCTCACTGTGCAATTCAGCTAGCCTCATCTTGCCTTCTCCCACACAACGGCTTTAACTTAGTCTTCAGCTTGAAAAAGGAAGGCCAATATACAAATAAATAAGAAATGAAAAAAAAAGAAGCAGTCTGAAAATATCACAAAAAAGCCAATCTTGAAGCATTTCCAGGCTGAAGCAAAGCAGGAAATTCTAAAAACATTATAATAGAGATTATCTTCTTGATATATCCTGCCAAATTTTGACTGTCCAGTAGAAAGGACTAAGCTGACAAACTCTGAATTCTTATCCACTTAATGCAAGCTTTGACCCATATTAGTTATACCCATTTTTAGTCAAAATTCTGTTTCACAAGCCCCTTAGGGCTTTTTCCAGTCTCACTGCTTTGATGTCTGTGTAAGAAAGATTTATAATCAGAGCCTCCAGACTATCTCACATGCTTCAATTTTCAGCTCTGAAAAGAAGCATCTTTTCTTTTCATAATTCTCACCTCATTTATTATATTAATTAGGCAATCTTCTGTGCTACTACCAAGTCCACTACAGAGGAGAAACTTTTCCACATCCTTCCCAGCAATAAACGCTCTCTTTATGGCTTTGTTTCACGAGGCAGAGCTAAAGGAAAGGGATGAAGCAGGATGAAGCTCCATGGAAACTTCCCCTTTGCTGTCCATTGTAGTCAGCTTGAGTGAAAGCTGCATCCCTGGCATGAACTACCCCATTGCTGCAGTTAGATTACAGTGTGCTGTATCACCTGGCATGATGTCAAAACAGATGTTGATTAGCAGAGGCACATGGCATTCATTTTGAACAAAGCAATTTCAATATTCACTTCATTTAAAGAAACATAATGGTTTTGGAGGTGAGGAAAGAGTGAAAATAAACTGATACGTATTGAATGTGATGGAACTACACATTCTTTGTCTCTTTGTTGTGCTCAGCAGGTGGTAATCAATGACCTGATAAGATTAGTGAGACCTTTAACATTTCAGAAAGGAGTGTAGGAGCCATGAAAAAGTCTTATAATTGACCAGTATTGCACTAAGCTCACCCAGAGCCAGAGAATACTGCGCTCATTTTTTGTTTATCTCATCTCTGACAGTAGATATCAAACTTGTAATGCATTTTCTGAAAATAATAAAGTATCAAAGCAATACTACTACAAACCTTTTCTTTATGGCTAATGATGGATACCCTTATTAAATCAAACACACTCTGGACTTGCCATAGAGAAAAAAATAGAAATCCAGAATGTTGTCACTTAGTTTCAAAGAAGTCATGCTGGATTCATTTCGTAGTGCTGATTTCACAGCAGAGAAGAGATACTCACAAAACTGCCAAAAGAATTTGAGGGTAGGTATATGTCCTGGTATGTGTAATGACAGCATTATTCTACATTGGTGATGATTGCTGTAGCTTTCTTAAATTAACCCAGGCATGAGGTGGATTATTATGCTCTTTTTTTCCCCAAAAGTGATTAAGTGACTATTTAGAGCCCTAGACAACCTTTTCACTTCATTTGGTTTCTGTGTCCTAGAAGTAGATACATAGGAAACACTCATACAGTACTAATTTTCCTTGCAAAAATTGTCCTCACGGCTCCAGAAATAATACACGAGTATGAAGCAGGTAGATTTACTGAGTGGGAAAACAGCAAAAGAATTGTATGGACAACTTCTCCAGCTGCTTTGTATGATTTCAGACTAGAATTTGAATGCTGAACATGATTTTAGATTTCATTCAGAATTCAAAGCTACAAATTTCTAAATCTGAAAGGTTTCAGAACCAAAATGGAGGAATCTCACAAAACTAGTGACTAGCACTCATCTGTGAGATCTGAGTTCACTGCTTTTCTATCTAGTGCCAAAATGAGTTGCAAGCACAAAATACATCAACTCCTGTCAGCTGAATCTATGAAAAGTCTTGCTTTAGTACATCAGAGATTTTGTATCTTGTTGTTTTTTGTTTGTTTGCTTGTGGTTTTTTTATTGTTTTGGTTTTCTTAATAAACTTTTCAAATAAACTTTGTATGAAATTGCAAAAGTAAAGCTACAGAACCTCAAAGTTTCACTGATCCTAATTAGATGACACTGATTGATATGCAGTGCTGATCAATGGGTTCAGCAGCTGACATGATAGTGAAGCCTCCACCTTCACCAACCATACCCATGTGCAGAAGGAACATCTAACTTCTAGGGCAGCTGTCTCCATTTCAATAGTTTCAGATTATCTTCAAATATACGTTAGAAAAAGCTGGATTTCATAACATTTTCTTCCTGTACGAATGTGTCCAAAATTAATTATCACCTGGAAATGGGAATAAAGTCTGACCTACTCAAGTTCTATTTTTATAATTGATATCTAGCGTATTTCTTTTTGTATTATTTGTAAATGTGGGGTTACCCACTTCTTTCATGTGTACAGGGCAAAGCCAGTGAGCTTCAAGAACTACAGAGGAAAGCAAATAATTAGCAATGATAAGAAACAAATTTTGTTTGTCTGACTGCAAAGTATGGAGCAAACTAGAGGTGGACACAGCTTTATTCTGACTAGACTTATGGTCTATAAGTTTAATTTGGGGCAATGTTCAGGGAAGGAAGAGAAGAATGTACCTTTTCTCTTTAATTTATGCAGAATCAGCTTCCAGCCACCTGGAGTTAAGACTGTGGATATGGTTACACCTCTGGTATGTGACAGGATATTTGGGGAAAAGGGAGTATATTCAAAACCCTGAAATGGGACAAAAAATGAAGACAGACGGGAAGATCAGCACTGAATTATTAAGTGATATGAATGCAAAAAACAACACATTTGGGAAACTTAGGAAAAAAACAAGATGTGGGCTCTGTGAGGTATTAAATTGCATTATTGGCATTTTCCCAGCAAATAGCCCAGAAAAAAAAAACTCACATGGTTTGCCAGAACTCTGGGATGATTCTCTACATGAAAGAGAAGACCTCTCACACGAGAATAGGCTGATCCCTCCAGAAATAGGCCTTTTGATTTATTTTTCCCTTCTCACATAGACACAGTTAAACCATTTTGGTCATTGGTCACATATATGCAATGCCTGTTGAAAAGTGGAGATATACACAAATGAAAGTGGGTCCCAAATGAACATTTTCAATACAAAGGAGGTAAATCATCTTAAATCTAGGAGTCTTCTTCAATTTGAACCACCTATTAGTGAATGGCTTCACAAATTCATGCAGAATACCATGCTTACAACCAAGAAGGAATGAGTCATAGGGCACTTGGAGCTGCCTTTAAGGGTAGCTAATCCAAGTTAGTCAAATGTCATCAGTTTAGAGGACAAAGGAGAAATTATCACCTCTGCCTTGCTCAAGTCCACTCTCAGCAATGGCTCTGCTATGCACAGCTCAAAAGTGACAAGAACAGCAACAGTGACAAGAATGGAACCATTTTAATTGATTTCAAAAGTCCTTGAATATGGGTCATAACTTGCAGCTGAATTTTCGATAGTAAAATCTTTAGGGCAGGAACATCAAGGTTTTATTAATCTGGCAGTCACTTAAGTCTCCACCCCCCTTTCACTTAGAGCACTGCAGGAATGATTAGCATGAGGATCTCAGCACTGCAGTACTCTGCCTTTGAATGTTAGTACCTTCCGGCTGTGGCTCAGTTGTTCATTTAGAAGTTCACCAGCAAAACTTGGCCACATGAATAGAACCCAAGTACCGAGGTCACACCTGCCAGCAAAAAGCCCAAGGAACTATGGAAGGAAAAGGATTTTCAACACTTGCGACACAGAGGCCAATAAAACCAGTCAGATCTTCAATGATCTTGTCTGGGCCCTGCTAAGAGGAAGGGGAGACCTGCAAAAAGAGAAACAGATTCTAGTGGAAAATGAACTTTAAAAGTTCAGAGGTTCCTCTCCCAGCTTCCTTGGAGTCTGCAGCCACAGCACAGGGATGAACTGTTCCCCTACCAGGTAACCCAGACGCAGCAGCAAGCTAAGTGCTTTGCATGCAAAGAGTACACTCAAGCAAAGAGTACAGGAGGCTTTTATAATCACAGCACTGACATGCACATATTTAGAAGGCTATAAAAGATTCCTGATTTCTCAGCCAAAAGTGATCAAGAGCTGAGTTCAAGCCTCAGATATTCTGGATGAGTTTCCTTTCAGCTGAGGAATCATGTGAGCAGAAGATGTAACAGAAGCCCTTCCACGCCAGCATGCAGAACTCAGCAACAGCACTAATCTTGCGTGCACAACCATTGCTCAGACAAGCATGCTTTTCATTAGAAGTTGAACTGTGAGACTCTGAACTAGCAGACAAGATGGTGACTGTCAAACCCACAGCAATCTCTGCAGCTTTGCACTGAGATCTAGGCACTGCTTTGCCAACGCAGCTCTCGACATCATCTCAAGAGCAGAAAAAGAGGAGCATCTCGCTGAGCTGAAACACTTTGCAAATGTCATACAAAGCATAAAACTTCATAGTTTGTATTATTGCATTTTAATGGTAAAATAATACTCAGCTTGTTTTAATATGTTACTTTAGTACTTTGAATTTAAGAAATAACATATAAACACGGTAACTTCAGATAAAAAGAGCTTTGATATTCATTCACAGATTTAAAGCTGTGTTTTGCTGGCCAAGGAGAAATTGTTATTCCAGACAAGCCATAATAAATTTCTATTTCGTAGTTTCTAAAATATTCTCTTGGAATTTATGGCATCACTGGAACGTATTCCTTACATTTTTAAACACATGACTTTATTATTTTGCCAGTAATTTTATGTATTGCACTAAATCACTGTGTTATGAACGTTCACATTCTTTTTAGCCTTTGTCTTTTGTAGATCAAATTAATCACAACTTATAAAAATGCACTATCAAGTATATGTACTTTAACTTCGTTGAGCATTTCAAACTGGGTATACTAAAAACCCTTAATAAAGTCAATATTTTGAATTGATATTATTTTGATTCATTTATCAGTGCCATAAATTATAGTTTGTAGAATCTGATTTAAGCCACTCTGTAGCTTCAGTGACAACCACAAATCATGTGCACGCATACAGATTTCCTTACATCTCCCCAGCAAACAAATCTGTTTCCTTTCTGTCTACTCAGCCTTCTCAGTTCTCAGTCCTCCTGCACTCTCAGCCTTTGTTCTCCATTAAAACAACACGCTCAGCTACTTAGCAGAGAGCATTAAGTGACGAAGCCTGTGTACTCCTTTGGTGCTGTCCTAGAATTATCTTTTCATACAAGATGTAACGTTCCCTTTTTCACCTTCTGAAGCCATAAAATGCCAACCCTCTGCAGCTGAAGGGAGGCAGAGATTTATTAGCCTGTCTAAACCAGACTTTGAAAAGTGCAGAGGAAATTTCTGCTCAGCAGATGCCCCGCAGAAGGCATTTGCAACACTTAAAATTAACTTAATGTTCCTTTTCAAGAGACTGAGCATCCCATAAAACTTGGGTCTCTTTTGTCCAGTTGCAGCCAGTTCCTCTCCAGCATTTTCTGCTTTCTCCAAAACAGTCCATTTTAGATCTTTCTCAACTTCACATAGACACACTCTGAGGAAGTTCACATTCCCTGCAATCCTATGACCTCTTCTATCTTTCCAAGGGGCTGCTGGCTTGTCAGCACGACAAAGCTGCTTCTATCCCAAAAAACTCTTATGGTCCAAATTTAATTCGACTGAACTACAAAACCCAAAAGGAAGGATTTGTGTAGGGTACGGCGAGAGATTTGCAACAAGGACAACACAGCAGAAGCTGGTGTGGTACAAGTGATGCCGAGAGATCACTTGATGAAATAAAGCAATTCAAAGAATTCTCCTGGCAAGCAAAAACACATTTCACCAACAAACATTTCAGTGAGCTGGTTTTAAATCAAAGCCAAATAAAATACCAAGAAATTTACAGTTAGGTGACTTCTTTGTCAGATCATTCAGAAAACAACATCAGAACGGTAGTTGCAGAATGAGCCTTTTCTAGCAAGTTTATCACACATGATTGTGGAAAACCTGCCAGGCTTAGAGTTTATTATCAAGGCAGCACTGGAAACCTCTGTACAAATAACACGTTGGATGCATTGCTAAGCTAAGTCAGGTCCTAAGTAGCCCCAAGCAGTTTCCTCAGCGTGGCAGGGCTCAGCGTGAGCGTGACACCTGGTAGCAATAGCACTTGCAGCATCAGAACCAGAGAGCAGGCGAGCGTTGTAAGCTTTTGTTAAACCTGACAGTTTAACCTACTGCTGAAAAAGGAATTTATGGACCTCGAGTTTTGATTTAAGTCGCTGATTTATCACTTTCATTCTGTACCAAACTTTGCCCAGTGAAAGACTTTGCATTATAACAATTCTACTTCTCCTAGCAGAATTTCTTGGTAGAGGTTCCTTATGTGAAGAGTAATTGGTCTCTTCTTTCAACATCCATTTTCTACCAGTGCCTTGTGGGCACACAGGGCACGTCCAGTGCAATTGGGTAGCATTTTTCAGACAAATATCTTTGTCAGGAGATGTCATGCTGGGACAACAAGTAGAAATATCTGAAAATTCAGGTCAAATTCATCAAATAATTTGAAATAGCAAAATGGAATGAAGAAAGCATGCCTGGACATTTTACTGAAATATTTTGAGTGAAACATTTCAACTACTCATATCAAATCATTGGTACATCTCATGAAAAAAGCTACTTTTTAAAGGAATAGTTAAAGAAATTCTAACAGTAAAAAATGCAAAAAAAAAAATTGCTTATATTGTTACAGCAGTTGACCTCAAATAATTATTTTAGTCAATCACATTAAAGACTTTTTTTTTTTAATTGCAGGAAGTCACTGTGGATTAACCTGAATTTTCCTCATCCCCTTAACCTTTTGATTTTTGATTTTGCAGGAGGCGGGGATACAAAGAGCTTATTTGCCCAGCTTTACCCATGGACTGCAGCACATGGAAAGAATTTCATTTAAAAAAATGACTAAAAAGCACACAGCATTAAGATTTACACTAAAATTTGTCCTCATGTAAGTAGTTCCACATATTTCGGCTACCCACAGTATCTTTAAAAAATTATTCCATTGTGAGACTGTACATAAATGATGTGCAATACTTAGAATGAAGTGCAGGAAATGTCAAGGACATTCATTTTAGCACTGCTTCCTAGGACGCCCCAGGAAGAGACACGAGTGAAATTCTGAGAGCAGATAGATGCATGAAAAATGGACCTACTGTCCCTCCCTGTGCAAATCTCCTGAAGTGCTGGATCCTGTCTACATTACAACTGCCTCTAACTACACAGCAGTAAGTAAAAAAAAGACAACGATTGAGAACAACATTTATTGGAGTTAGAGCTGTTTTTTCCATAGTGTAGCAAGACTCTATCTTAAGTTGTTTCTTATTACTCTGTTCCTAAAGAAGTGACCTCCCTGCCTATAACAACACATAGCTGTTAACACATTTGGATAACATGGCTGCATTCATCTCCATGCATTACCCAGAAAAAACAATTTCTTCTAGAAGTTCGTGAAAGCACACACAAAAAGGGAGGGGGGAACAAACTACAGACACTGCTAGGAAAAAAAATCGAATGCAAAATACTGTGCAAAGGCATCAGCGTTTTAAGCCTTTGAAAAAATCCAGGCCCCACTGAAGAAATTAATCTTTTAGAACTCCATATAGCATCTTTCAGCTATATTGTTTATGATTTACCATGGCATCAGCAACACATCTAAACACAAGGGGAATTTTACCCTCTTCACAACATCACACACTGACTTCTTACATTCTTGAAACAAAGCTTAAATAATACATTATCTTTCATTCTCTCTCTGCACAGGAACTTCTCTGCCAATATAGTTGTTGTCCAGCATGTAATCCAAAAGTTGTGCATTCTCCTCTACCATCATCCAGTTTACCCTTTATTGAAACTTGTTACATCACTGTAATTCCCATAAACCACATGACCAATCTTCAGACTCAGCTCAGCAAAGAGAGAATAGGTATGTCTGGCAAAAGAATGAAAACTAAACAGAGAAAAATAAACTTTATCCAAGCCCTTGACAATGATTTGTCAAGCTTAGCTGAGCCTTGCACTTACCCAGTGATAGGAAGCAACTAGACATGTACTTATACTAAATCCAGCCTTATTCTTCTCTTGGGTTATACAATATATTATACCTTGAAAACAGCACTTACATAAGTGAAGTTACAGTGGACTCACATTTCACATGTAGAGAAACAGCTGCTATTTTAATTTAAAAAATCTAAATTAAATCATAACTTAAAAGCTATGTTTCATCATCCATAGAACATGCCAAATCATATGCCTGAAATATAAAACTGATGCTGAAATTCTGGTAATATTTAACATATTCTTTATGAAGAAAACATTCTTCTTGAGCTTGGAAACTGACTGAACAATAGCAGCCTTAGGACCTCCAAAGCCGAAGGCACACAAAGGTTATGAGAATGTGTCCGCTCAAAACTACAAATCAAAGAGTAACAACAATACCATATGTTACAGAACATAAAGTATCCTTCACAAACACTATAAAATCCCCACATATCTCTGCCTCCAGAGTTCCACTGCCCAGTGGATGGTTGTGTTTCATTACACTATCACCATATAAGAACATTTTTACTCCATTTTTAAAGGCATGTCAAAAACCTAGTAGTACCACTGAGTGACCCTTGGAGGGTTAAGACTAAGTAGTAATGACAGAAGACTGTCCTTGGCCTAATGCTGTTTAAAAATGCAGAAGCTGATTTCATGGAAATGGCTCCAGGTGGCTTTAAACTGCAGCCAAAAGTGGTCCTTACTCATGTTGTTTGTTTCATTTAAATTATAGTCTATATATAAATTACATAGACTCCCATAAAACCTATTTCTTTTTGGAGTAATTCACACAGATGTATCAAAGATCCTTGTGGTCTAAGTTGTGGCAACTAATAAAGAAAGGGGCACATCCACTCTGGCACTAAGACTCTGCATCAAAGCAGGAGAGAGAATTAGTTGCCTCCCATGTTAAACTGCACATACTCAGGGATTTGTGTCATAGAGATGCACTCACCAGCTCAATGGGTTCACAGATGGAGGGACTTGGTGCAATAGCAGCTTCTTTCACAGCCAATTACAAAAGGGGAAGTACCACCAATTCCATTATCAAAATCTTCCTTTTATTCCTTGGAAGAGAAAGTAAAGTAGTGTGAGAGCAATGCTTTCCATGTATCTACATGCCACTGAAGTGTTACAGCTAGCAATGCTTTCATCCATTAAGGGCACTGAAAACTTGGTCAGAGAATGAGAATTAGTCCTCTGAGAACAAGATCTTTTAGGAAACCTAAATTAAAAGCAGTAGATGTGGAGATATATCTACAGTCCATTCAAAACCCCTCTAAAATCAATGAATTATGCTTTACAGCAGCCCCCTGAGAAAGCACAATGAGACAAAGAAGTTCAAGCTTCAGCCTGAATGTTTGCACCTGGGGCCTGGGTTAAAGCCTGCATGTAGCCTCACCATGCACATAACCCTTTGCAGAAGCACTCTCTTTTGAGAAAGATTAATATGAAAGTATCCTAAGGGTCACAAACATAAATATCAAGCATATTTTTATCAACAGATCCCCAAAATTTTAAGAGGTACCTGGAATACTCTCAAATGGCTCTTTAAATAGAAGATAATGAGTAATAAAACTGACAGACTCTCTTTCCTATGTTGATTTAAGAGTCATTTTCCTTATTCCATTAAAATTTCTTTTTCAGACTCTCAGCAGCAACAGTCTTGCCTGGTAAAACTTATTCACAGTCTAAATGTGGTTTACACGGAAGCTTAATTAGACTCTTTCAGTATGGTTGTGGAAACAGACATTCTCTGATCTGCCATACAAATGCTCCCATCTCATATTAACTCGTGAGTTGTTCAGTATATTTTGTCTAATCAAAAGGAAAATTACACAAATCTAAGATGGAAGGGTTCAGCCAAGCCCACCACTCCTCATACTCAGAACACAAGCACCAAACAACAACCCCTACATCACACAAATGGGCTTACCTGTATGCAGATCTGAGGAGACACAGTGAGAAAGAATCTTTTCAGGCTAGACCTCAAATCCCCATATTTTTGACAGATTGCTGTGGCCATCTGCTGCCTTTCCACAACAGGTGGAATATGCTTTATCAGATCTTCCATTGCCAAGACAACTATCATTTTACTCATTTATAAGATTTATGCCCCAGTCGTCCTCATTCTTTCACGCGGAGGACTTGTCTATGTGGAAACTTAGTGCACAGTGAGCCAAGATGCTGACCTTCTGACTTTCAGCAGACAAGCTTGTCTGCTCTAAAGCTCTGACTGCCCACTTTGAGGGCCTTGCATCGTTACTTTCTCATGAGGCGCTCTGAAAAAATTCATGGTTGGAATTCAGTGCAGAGAAGTTATGTACAATTCACAGCCTCTTTAAGAAAATTCACTTTCTAAGAAATTCACTTTCTCTAAGGAAAAAAATAAAAATCAGGGTGTAAGATCCCACCACCTTCTTTTCTCAGAGATGAGGGAACCAGGAGATGTTGAGGCCCTGCCAGGGTGGCCTCAAAATGGCAGCTAGGCTAAGGCCCTCAGCCAGGTGCATGGTGCCAATGCCAGGCTGGGCATGGCAGGGCTGTGGTGTAGCTGCAAACCAGCATCTTCTGGCCTCACTGAGGAGAAGTAAGATATGTGGTGAATGTAGAGCTTCTGCTCCAAGCTGGGCTAAGGTAAAGTGCCACAGCCAGAGCTGGGTCAGGAAGCTCCAAGGGATCCATCACACTGGTGGCAGCTCAGCTCTCCATCGTGCCACTGTCAGACAAAGCCTGGGGAAGAATCTACTTGTGCTTGCAGTCAAAAAGCAGATAGTTAGAAAAAAGAAAAAAAAAAAAATCTCATCCTTCACTCCAGCTAATTGCATAAAGAAAAGCACAGACCAAGGCAGGCAGATTTATCATCAAAAGCATCCACATCCATTTAGCTTCCAGTAAGAGGTAATTCTCTGCGGTGACTGGAGGTATTGCACTATCACATTTATGGCAGTGCCATGTGTGGAGAACAGAGGATGCTGCTATGCCAGCTGCTGTATGTTATCATTATTTGTACTAGCATCATGCCAGGAGCCAGGTGCTGCACAACATAAAACAAAAAGTAATTCTCTCTTGCAGACAGTTTACAGAATAATAGCAAAGGTGACCACTCCTGACCTGGACAGCTTAGTCTAGATCAGGACAAAAGAGAGCATGTATCAGATACCATGCTTAAATAAAAGTTTTCTTCCCCATGGAAAGAATCTGTGACTAACCGGAGTCAAGATTGCAGCACTTGGAGACAGTCTGAAGGAACACCCGCACTTTTGTCTGAATAAATTCTTCATCTACAAACACACACAAAGCACCACCCAGCTCACACACTTAAAACATTACAAATTTATCCTAATAGCCCTGTAAATTGTTTCTTCTGCTCACAGTGATAGAAGAATCCATCCCCAAGCCTACACCTAGGTTTTGGTTAGCACTCACAAGCTTTGTGAGGCATCAGCACTGTCGGATGGAAGCCCACAAAAATGGGCTGAATAATCTTTTAAAGGCCAGTTTTGTTATGTCACACATACAGGTCTTTATTCTTATAAAATTTAGGGGACTTTCAACATGATTAGCAACAGAGTAGGAGATAGGAACTTGATTTCATCCTCTTATTCATAGAGCATTTCTGCTTTCTTCACAACTGGAATTCAACTTCAAAGCCTCCATCATAATGTCATCAAAATTTCAGGTTTTACTTGTAAAAAAAGACATTCTTTCTGTTCTGTTGAAAGAATCTTTAATACTTGCTCAGCCAGAATGAATGTCTTCATAACACAGGTCTATCAAAGCTAAGTTACAGAAAAGAAAAAACTCACTTTTTTTTTGAATCTCAAAGAATATGCCAAAGATTTCCATCAAAAGAAAACTAAAATTCCTATAGAAATATGCATATAACTTCAAAATCCATTCCAAACTTTCAGAATGTCTCACTTTGTAGGCAGTAGGAAATCTGAATAAAACCCACCAGAAATCCTTGCAAAGTACTTTATAGAAATCTGATCGGTATGCTTCTTATTTGACTTGACTAAAATCAAAAGTGAAGTTTGAGAAATTTGGATTTAGGAAAACATGCCTAGGAAGATCTATTCAAAGCCCATTTCAAATGCTCCTAGGTTTTGCTATATAGTCCCTGCCCTGGCACTCCCTTCATCTTGGTGCTCATTGTTATGTATCTTAGCTCCACACACAGGGCCCAAACGAATGAACTGCAGTTTTGCCATTGTCCCTATAGGCTGATGGATCACAGTCCTAGTATTTTACCTGCATAATCCTTCCTCCCAGAGGGATGCCCCTAATTCTAATTAAATGAGTACCTTTAAGTCCCTGATCTATGCAAAACCCTTTTTAAAATGTGCACTGATAAAAGCATCAGGAACATATGTGCATACCACAATCCTATATGAAAAATACAAGAATTTACTTATCCAGTCACAGGCTTATGAATATTTCTTGCATGTGTGAGTCTTACACTTTTAGTATAGAAATAATAAGCTACTTGAAAATGAATTGTTGAAGACCCTTCTGCTTCCAATACTGGTATTAAGATGAAGGCAAGCTCTGTACAAAACCAAAATATTTGGTAGGAAGGGTAGAGAAGATCAAGTGTAAGATGACACAGAGAAAATCTCAGGCTGGTTGCAGCACCTGAATTTGATTATGATCTAAGCAGCCAAAAAAATGAATACAAGGATAGTATTCAAAAGACCTCACCAAGATAAGTATGATAACTTGTCATAGTGTTACAACAGTTGACATATGTCCATACTAAGCATCCTTGCAAGGCAGCTTCAGTGGTCTTCAACTAAGATAGCAGTCAAGTGCCTCCAAAAGGTGGGCTGGAGCTAGCTTTGAGAAAAAACTCCAAAACCTTTGGACAGTCCAGCTCACATGGCAACCTCATCTGCTTCTCCTCTCTGAATGAGATGCTTCAGAAGCCCTGCTTCAAGAAAAAAAAAAAAAAGCAAGCTACCTGTATTTAGCCTTTTAAAAATATGTTTTATAAGTCCTAGAGCTAGATCTTGACAAGTTTACACCTGGGATCTTACTCAACAAGAAGTTCCACATAAAGTGCTGTTCTTAACAAATAGTACTGACAAGTAAATGGCTGTGAATGAAATCTATGAAGCATCACCTATTTTCTAACAGATTCCATAATTTCCACTGCAAATAATTTCAACTTAATTCTGTTCTTTTTCTGCCTGCCAAGTGTTGGGGGTTTGCTGAAGCCCCCTCTGCAAGCCGAATCAGAGACCTAACCTCTGGAGAGCCTCCCAAATCAACAAAATGTCCCCTCCTCATTCTTACTCTGCTAGAGTTTGTTTTGCATGGAATTTATTTGCCCGTTTTGCATGAGTCGTTTGGCTGTAATCTCGGCAGCATGTAGCCTTGCCAGATTTCGGAAAGATGAGCAAACTTCTGAATCTGATAGCGACTTCAGCAGAATACCAAAAAGGGGCTTCTTTGTTCTCCATAAACAGACTATTTACTTTGATCTGGTAAAATGAATTAATGAAAGGAAATGACACCTTCCAATTTGGTGTGTGCAAGAGAAAGAGCAGTAGGCTTAATTTTGTTTTCTTCTTCCTTTTTACAAAGATGGAGTAGGCTAAGTGGTATCCTTTCCAAAGTACAGTGCTGATAGAAATAGACAGATTTTCTCTGGTAAAAAGTCTCCTCAGAACACCGCAAGGTCCATGTATATGCAAACAGTTCAGAGTTATTACAAATCTAAAATAGGAAGCTATTCACTTGATCTTTTGGTTCAATCCTATTAGGACCCCCCTGGAGCTCTAAATGGATACCAGCCTGTCACAGGCCTGTTGCTGTGACGACCCAGTCTTTATAGAACAAGAAAAAGAAATGATAGTGATTGGCAGACCTTCCTTGCCCTAGTATGTAACACAAAAGGAGACAAAATGAAGAGGAAGTCAGACTCTTATTATAGGTTTGATGCTTCTTAACCTTACAGCACCTTACACCTGGTAAGTGTCACCCTGCAAACTTAAACTCTCAGAAGAGTAATATAACATTTCAGTCTCAGATGTGAAAAGCCAAGTCAGGCATTAATTTATCT